AGACGTGACATTAGTGTTAAAGCACAGCAAAGGTACTATAACTGGAACTTGACAAGCAGCTAAATGAGCCAGCAGCAGCAGCAGCACTGTGCGCCATGTGGCAGGCCGGCCAGGAATAATAATGCTTATGCACATGTATGTTTCTAATCTCTAAGCTTGTTATTGACACCAAAGCACAATCGGGGGTAGCTTGTTTTTCCTCATGCGACGGTAATTAAGCACACGGCCATCGACTGCAGGACACAAAGGCAGACCACAGCGCCTGTTTCTCACAGTTAAACAAAGTGGCTCCCAAGCTGCAGAAAGGCTCATGTTTTGTTTACGCTGTTTTTCTTTACCAGCTCCCTTATTATTTCAGGTATGATCCAGGTTCTTACCCGGGGTTTAAAAGGCTCATTCATTTCACAAAGAGATTAGCCTACTTCCTGTTTTATTAGAGCCAAACTTAGGGCATGCCAGGAAAGCATTTCTTTATGTATTCGAATATATAGATATTTGATATTAATTTTAAAAAATAATAAAATTTGAATATTTAGATCAATTACTTCTATCATTTGTGATACATCAGTCATTGCAATGAAAATTATTATAGATTTTCTGTTCAGCCCATGCATCTGATTGTGTGAATCAGGGTTTTCGAAAACAAAAATATCACATTAATGATGTAGAGGTCTCAAAAACTCATATATCAAACATGATATTACTGTATTATGTGTTAACGGCTTAAAAAAGCAGAAATCTACCGGAGACGTATCACTGACGGTTAAGAAATGGATAGTTCTGCACAAGATGAGAAAAATGGTGTAATTGCAATACTTGACATGTTTATATTTATCAATATTCTAACACTTTTGTCTTTTTTCTAGCCTTTCAGAATGTATCCATCAATTCTGGAGTTTTTAGCCACTAAAAACCTACATCAGTTTTGAGTATTAGGGTCAATTCATACAATTCGCTGAATATATAACTGGATATTCATCTCATGATTCTGTGACCCTTTTAACGATTGTATCCCTTCATATAAAGCATCCTGCTGTTCTTGTATGACTGTCATTATCAATTATATAATATTGTGGGGGTGATTACAATTCCATATATTGTGCACCTCTAGTCATTGTAGGATGTTCTACTTACTTACTCAGCTAGAAAAAAAATCTTTGCGTCCACCTTTTGTTTATTAAGTAAAAAAAGGTAAATTTTTGGTCTTTACCTAGTCAGTTAGCCGAGTAAATGTTTTCTAATGTAGAGCTGAATATATGATGGAGTATTCTTATTTAACATGTCTCTCTACAGTTCTAACCCTGGCAAAGTCAGGTGTGCTCAATCCAAAGCTGGCTAGTTGGCTTTGAGGTTTAGCAGCTTAAGAGTTTTAAATTAATACCGCTAACTGTCTTAACTTTATAAAGTCTGGCCAAATCCAGCTACTCTGTATTCCTGTAATAAAACAAGGATTTTGCCTTCATAGAAGAAAAAAATCCAGAGGGGAAAAAAAAAAACATCTGCTGTAAACCTCAAAATTAAATTGAAAATGCATTAGAAAATGCAATCAAATAAAATACTTTAAATTTGTCGTCAACAAAGATGCAGCAGTTCCTTTGACAGGATTTAAGGAGAACTAATCAGTGAGTAAATAATTTCTAACAGAAAAGTGGCCCTCATTTTTTTTCCAATTTAAATGCCTGTCAGTAGCTCTAGCTACTGAGTGGGTTTGTTTTTTTTGTTTTTTTGCTTCGTTTTTCTCATTAGTAGTCCTCAGGTATGCATAGAGACATGTCTGGTTTCCTCAAAGTCAAACATGTCTGCCCTAAATCCTTCAACCTGAGCTAACAGACATCAGCAGAACCCCTCTGTTATGCAGTCAGCTTTGTTCAGCAGATACTGCTTTGTTTTTTTAGCATGGATGTATTTTTTTTTTATGTAGAATTCAGCACTAAACTTCAGGGCCAAGAGCCCAGTTAAGGGCCAGGAACGATAAAAACCTGAATTTGACAAACTGGAGATGAATCTGCCACTAAAGTGTACTAAAACAGGAACACAAATAAGAACCAAATCTCTTCTAAAACTCTGGAATTTTGCTAAAATCTGCTGTTATTCTGATGCCTGAGATAATGAACCAATCAACAACCTAAACATTACTAGTTTAGCGTCAGCCATTTTTTATCCAGGTGAAAAGATTCAAAAACCTCTACAGTCTCATGTTGTACCAGCTGCACCCTCATCATTTGTAATTTCCACAGATTTTAACCATAATTTGATGATGCCTATGTTAAAGGTATTGTGGAGGCCATCAGTTGTACTGTAGCTGTCAGGTAGCGATAGTCTATGGTGACAGCGGGTCTCTGTGACAGCAAATCCCATAATGTTTTGTGAGGAGAGCTCTTCGCACAAAGCATTCTGGGATATATCTGCTTCTTGTGAGGCCTTTCTTTTCTTCTCATACACTCATACACTTTTACGACCCTCAGCCATTTCCAAAGAACTGCGGTGAGAAAGGTGAGCTTCAATGACTGTCTGAAACTGTAGCTCCTCACACATATACGCCTGAAAGGTGCATGCACAGATAAAGAGACAGGTAACTGGGCGAGCTCGTAGGACGGCCTTACGCAAACATATTACCAGAATGATTGACAATAAGGAGGACCACTTATTTAGATGATTCACTCGGTCTACTTACATTGCAGTGTCCATATAAACTGTAAAACTCCCTGCATAATTATAATAAAGCAATTTATATGCATGAAACAAGTGGAGCAGTATGGCAATTGCCATACCGCTACACTTGTGAAAGTAAAATCTGTTGGGCTCCTTTTGGCATCAAGACAATTATTTTTATTGCCCCCTTGCCAGACAGGACACTGTAAAAAAAAAAAGAAAAAAAAAAAAAAAAAAAAAAAAAAGTATTAACTTAAATAAGT